TTAGTTCCTACTATTTGCTGTATTTACTAGAGGCGCTGCTGAATCACATGGGTTTTTCTGGGCTTTCTGGTCGTTCTGTATCCCAGGATCCGGTGAGGGATGTGCATAGATGGCGGAAGGCAGTCGTTTGTACAACGATCATCGATTCTAGATCTATCAAAGCCCCGCACCCTGGCAGTTGTTATTTAATCTCCAATTATCAACACATTGTGTCCCTCAAAGTTACGCAGTCTGCTTCAAGTCGATGATATCCGCGATCTCGAGGAACGAGTCGACGACATAATCTACCTCGCCACCGTCCTTCTTGCTGCGCACCGGGCTGTCGAGCGGTATATCCTCATCCGGCCGACGCACGTACACGGTGATCATCCCCTGGCCCGCTGCCGCGCGGAGGTCGTATATGTGCGCCGCGACCATCGCGCAGCGCGCGGGCCGCACCGCAAGGTGCCGCATCGCCTCGTTGTAGGCTTTCGGGTTTCTGCCGAAGGGAAATGAAAGTAATATGAGCACGGCGGACGCGGGGGAACTTGAGAAACGTGGTGAACTGACGGTTTGAACGTGTCGAAGAGCTCCGTGGAGAATATTGTGTCCCAGGGCAGGCCGGCGTGCTTTGCCTGTGCATTCAAGGTATGAATACGCGCTCAGAGCCTGCGGGTATTTATTTATGTAGGAAAGAAGGTGCGCGCACCATGTCGATGAGGAGGCGCATGTTGCCGTTGGACAGCGTCGCGATGATGGCCTGCTTTTTGAGCGCGTGGAGCCCCTCAACGGCGTCTGGCCAGCCTTCAAGGCGCGACGGATGTAATAATGCCACGATTAGCCTAATATACTGGCACGCGGTAGCAGCAGGAGCCGGAATCGAGACCGTACCGTTCAGTCTGTGCCACGCAAGATTGAGATCCTGGCGCGTAGCTTCGTCCCACGCAGCGCCAAGGTCCGCCCACTGAGGTGAGCTGAGAAGGTCGTCGAGTATCTGAATACGAGATGAACGGGTCAGATAGTAATTATTGTGCGGATGCGACTCGCCTTTCTGTGCATGGCGTCAACGTTGTGCGGGCCTGAAAGCTTACCCTCCGCGACCAGCCGTCTGGTGATGAGAAAGGCTTTATTTCAGCTGGAAAAAGTAATACAGCAGGGTACGGACGTGTTTGTGAGATAGCCGTTGCGCCATAGCTGCGCAAACGTAGGCCAGTCTGCAGAGCGGGGGTTGCGGGCGAGTCAGCGTCGTGCCTGTGGGATGATTAGTATTAGATTCCCGACGCGCTCACCCGCTGTTAATCCATGCTTGGTCCCTAGTGCCTGGAGCTCCGCAATGACGCTCGAGCGCCAATCGACGACTGTGCCGAAGACGTCGAAGACAAACGCTTCAACTGGGTGTACCGCCATGAAGCGCTAGCTGTGTTTCTGTTCACGATGTGTGTGAAGAATAAAGCACGGGCGACGGGGCCTTATAAATCCGTTCCGAATCCTGAGAGCATCCTGAAGTGAACGCTGTGGGACCGACTGTCTGTCGCAAATGGCAAGTACAATCCAAAGGCTGGCCAGCACTCGCCGCCCACTGTCAAAGTGATTGTATGAAAATTAAGTTCACACACGGTGTGCGGTTCGTGATACTCTGAATCCAATTCCACAAACAATGAAGCAGTCATTCAAGCTTGAATAGAAAAAAACCCGTTCTGTAAATCTGTGTACGGTAGTTCTGTACACAGAAGCGCAGGAGTACCTCTTCTTCATCCGCAATGGATCTGCAGTTTATACAAAAATCTCTAAAATCGATAAAAGCGGAGTAACGCAACCACATATATGCAGCAATGCCAGCATCAGCGTGCGTGAATCTACCTCGAGCAGAGGCTACATATTCTTAAGACTGTATTGACCATGCCATACTGTGTCCGCTGTGCGTCGAAGTTGCGTTGAAGTCAGATAAGTACTATATTTGAGCGCATGGAAATCTAGGCCACCTGGGGAGGCCCGGTATTCGTGAGCGCGTCGCATTCAATGTGCGCTAACAACTGTTATACTACCTCTCCTTCTCGTTATACACGCGTGCTCCAGACGAGAGTGAGATATGATCTGTGCCAACCATTCAAATCTGCTCCTACGCTCTTCTGTGGACGCACTTTGGCGACTTGTTCCAGTACGATGGAGGTATCCTTGTCTGCTTTTCTTCTTCGAACTTCTTGCGCACTTCTACATTCATCTGGTTGTGATTCTCGAATTTTAATATAATCTCGAACTCGCTGTCCATGTCTCTGCCGGATGTTGAATAGGATTACAATCATGCGCCTCAAACTTATCTGCACTCGTCGCTCCTCCTAAACCAGCACAAGAACCGTCTGAACCGAAGACACTTCCAATAATTTATCAATGTGGTACATATGTCATTGTCAATTTCGTACGCAATATTGCATGTTCGACTACTTGTCCTAATATCATATATAATTTTTATTTCCAGAGGCGACGCGCTTCTGAGATTTCTCAGAGCCCAGAGGAAGCTTGCATTACTTACCTTTCCACCTTAGCTCGTTTTTCGCCAACTTTTCGCGCCTGCAGTCGACAGGCTTCAAGTCTATTTTTGGATTGACCCCATGTCCGATCAAATTTAAATTTGGAAGCAACTGCGGCAGTAGTGGCCGGCGCCGGGCGCCGTCCGTCGTAAATGCGGTGCCCATGCAAGAGCAAAGCAGGGATACCATACATCTACATGTTCAAGTGTTGCAGATGGATGCAGGTGTTGTCGTTCGCCCCAATTTTCTAGCTTTAGAGACGATTGAGAACCATATGAGAGGCCATTCACGTGACTACCCCAGCGCCGAAAATATAAGACGATCCGTGATGCAGGTTGCTCTTCTTTCTTTTTTCCAGCTTCTCACAGTTTACGACACGCAGTTCCTCCTGACACCCACCACATTCATTCGCTACCCACTCACTTCAACAAAAAATTCGCCTTCGAATATGTTTTGGACTCTCCTGACCGCTTTCGTGGCCGCCGGTGTGAGCAGCGTGGCGGCGTCGACCAACCAGGGCCCAACGGCCTGTGTGTCATTCGATATCAACTGGAACCTGCTGGCATTTGGGTTCAATGGGAAGGATTACAACGTTGGGACACAGGACACCTGGACCTCTTCAGGAGGTGCGTGTGTTACGTTATATCTAAGACGGTGCCATCTGACCGTATGTAGCCCCTACCGACATAACGACGACGGGACGTCCGTAAGTCTGCTCGCTAGCCACATATTAGGGGGCTAGGAAATTGATTTCCGCTCGACTTTACAGGCCATTCAACTCCCCCAACGCTAGATGTTTCCTCTCCCAGGTGAGCACGATACTGACTTGCACGGTCGTCCATACGATGGCCGTACTCGCCTCCGCTGCATCACTAATAATGATATGTCGCAGTTCACGAACGCGATCTACGTCCTCAACGCAGACACAGCGAACCCCACTTCCATCTACATCTATGATGCAACCGCCAAGTCCTGGTCGACACAGAGCGTAACTGCAAACGGATTTGACCCCACCGACTACGATACAATCCTCGACCACGACACGAACGTCTTCTGTACGTGTCCTTGCGGCTGTGTTTCCACGAAATTGACCTGAATGCCTGGCAGATGCGTACTCGAATGCTACCATCTTCTCGCTCGATATGCAGCTCATGAAAGTCGCCAATGCAACCGCCCTTCCATGGAGTGACGTTCAGTCGCCCGACCTCTCCACGGATACGTCGGGAACGGTTACACCTGGTGAGGGTCGGCTGTCACTCGAGCTGCATATTATACTGACCATTTATTAGGTGCCAATACGGCAGGGTACGAACCGACCCTTGCGCTGGCCCAGAACCATGTCCACTTCCTCGGTGTCCCGGGTCTCCCTGTCGGCGATGCAAAGATTTTCGTGATCCACTGTCAGCCTGCAGTCACTTTATTGCCGCTCTATGTGCTAAAATTATTTTAGTTTCATTCATGCAGCCCGCTCCGCAAAACTACGGCACCTTCCCCGACTCTCATGGAAAGGCTGCATCGTTCTTCCTCGACTCTGGTGTAAGGTGTACCGCCCGTCTTCTATGAACTATCCATTGACCTCTTTCCAGGTACAACAGGAGTTTGCCTACGTCCCCGATGATGGCAGTGCTACATACGTTATCAATGTTGAGGTAATTAGTGACATTCACGCCTTGCTTCTAGTGAAAGGCTGATCGCGCGTCAAACAGACCAACACCACGAAGACCCTCACCGGTCCTCCCACCCAGGACGCTCTGGCTTCTTACTATGCGTCTACTTCAGCCCTGGTGCAGCTCGATACCGCAGGAACCGTCGCTTTCTTGGCGTACGACCCCAACACCACCACCAGCGGTAAGCCGTCCTACCTCAGACCAAATGCCCCCCCTTACTAATGAACCCCTCAGGCGGTACATGGTCGACCATCTCCAAGATCCCTACTGCCACCGCTGTCTCGTCGTCCAGCGCGTCCGGTTCGACAAGCACCGGCACTGGTTCCTCCCGGTCCGGCACGTCGACATCAACCGGCACAGCTGCGAGCGGCTCGTCGACCGCGGGCAGCAACACCACCAGCGCAGGCATGAAGATGGGCGGCCAGAGCGTCTTCGGTGCCGCGCTTGCCGTCGTGCTAGCTAGGGCTGCGCTGCTTGCGCTGTGATTGTGATCGCTGGCTGCTCATTTTCGCTGTTATTGCATTCGGCTTTCATACGTTTTGTGCTCGTACTGCTTCCACATCTTCTTGCTCCCTGCATATGTCGATACGCCCCATACACGGACATCTTGGATCTTGGACTATATATTCGCGCAATGCGCCGCTTAATACATGTCTTCCTTTTCATGTGGACACTTTCGTACCCATCGTACTTACTACCCTCGCGTATGGAAGATGTGGCTTATCCAAAGTGAGGTAGATTATCTGTCTTTGCATTTGTATTTCCTGCACAACAAATAGGAAAAGCAGCAATACCTAGTAGAACTCTACTGATTTTATCCACTCAGTCGGGTATGGTGTAACGGCTAACATTGCCGCCTCTCATGCAAGATCGCGGCAGCTCGGGGTTCGATTCCCCGTACCCGAATTTTTTCTTGCCTGCTCAGTACACGGTCCGCATCTGTCCGGATTCTGGACTCCGACCGTTCTAATAATATGACAACCAACTCGAACTTACACATTCGCCCCTATTCGCCCACAACTTCCACAACTCACTACGAAGCTGCCGCGACTGACGCATTCTTGTGTGATAGAATCACATTTAACCAAAATACACTTCACAATGAACTCCTAACGAGCCTTCCAGAGGCACAGCCAAGCGCGCGGAAACCTATCCGTGGAACCAACATTGTTGGTGGTGTCGCAATCGCCGACCTGAAGAGCGTCATTCCTACAAATATGTAAGCATCCTCTCAAGATTGGTATTCGAGAACGCCCATCCAATCATCTGACATATCTCTTTCGCCCAACGTTAGATAAGGTTACCCAAATGAACCCACTTGGGACGCTCGGAAGGCTATCCAGACAGGGATTGCGTCGTCGGCAGCCCATATTGCTTCTTGATTGCGCTCATGGCATAACGTAGCCGTGGCCTGCGCAGATTTCTCTCCCATATAAAACAATCCCTGAGGCATGGAGTGGAAGTGCATCGTGGCCTGCCTTTTGTGCATTCCATAGCGTCTATCGTCGTCCTTGTATCCGTTTCAATGTCGCCATCCGTAGCTGAGCTTCAGGCTGCCACCGTGGACCACGTCCAGGCTGTGAAGGAGAATATCAAGGAGCAGGAGGCTGCGCAGACCGCTGAGGTTGTCGACAAGGTTGACTCAACGTACTTGTGGCTTTCTTTGCTGCTAACTAACTAAACTGGCATTCGCACAGGGCCCTTCATACCCATTTTACTTCCCATATTTTGATGTCGACGAGAAGTTCCCCGTCACACAGCTCTTCGGTACGTCTCGTTTCCGTGACCCTCGCAGCATAATTATTTACGCTTGCTAGACCACGTTGACCCTGGCTTGCGCGCCGACCCCAAGAAGCCACACCTGCTCACACCCAATGTGAAGACCAGCAACATCAGCCCCTACCTTGGGACCGAGGTCTCCGGCGTGCAGCTCTCAGAACTGAGCGCGGAGGGTCGCGACGAGCTCGCGCTATTCGTCGCGGAGCGGAAGGTCGTCATCTTCCGCGACCAGGACTTCAAGGACATCGGGCCCGACCGCCAGATTGAGTTCGCCAAGTGCGTCGCATTTTTGCAGCATTTTTTCCAATCATTACTCACATCGCCCTGCAGGTACTTTGGTCCCATCCAGCGACACCCTACGTCCGGGAACGTCAAGGGCTACCCCGAATTCCACGTCGGTCAGTGCATAACACTGCCCAGCCTCCGCGCGATGCTGACATCCCAGGACTCCAGTCTACCGCGACGCGACGCACGACCGTTTCCGGGAGTACACAGGCGCGAACCGCGCAAACCACACGTCGTGGCACTCGGACGTGTCGTACGAGAAGCAGCCGCCAGGCACGACGCTCTTCTTCATTCTCGACCAGCCCGAGACGGGTGGCGGCGACACACTCTTCCTCTCGCAGGTCGAGGCATACAAGCGCCTCTCGCCCGAGTTCCAGAAGCGCCTCGAGGGGCTGCGCGCGGTGCACTCCGCCGTACCGCAGGCCGAGTTCTCGCGCAAGCGCAACGGGCCCGTGCGCCGCGAGCCAGTGGAGACCGAGCACCCGCTCGTGCGCGTGCACCCCGTCACCGGCGAGAAGGCGCTATACGTCAACCAGGGTTTCACGAAGCACATCGTCGGCTTCCGCACGGAGGAGTCCGAGTACCTGCTCAAATTCCTGTTTGACCACCTCGCGAAGGGCGCGGACTTCCAGATCCGCGCGCGCTACGAGCCGGGCACGGTCGTGCTTTGGGTAAGTGATTATTACTTTGCTGTGTGGCTGGTTAATGTGCTGAGTGCGGGTGTCGGATAGGATAACCGGCTGACGGCGCACTCTGCGACGCCGGACTACAGTACCACCTTCCGAAGGCACGCCGTGCGCCTGACACCCCAAGCTGAGGTGCCCACTGAGGGTCCTCCACAGGCTTAGGTTGTTCAATGGCCCTAGGCTAACTTTGTACAGTATGACTGCCTCCTACTACCTATGTATTTCAGAGATGTATTGCCTCCCTTCAATTGTATAAATGATTCCATCGTTTTTTGAGCGGACGGGCTACGAAACACCAACCATCGAATAGAATAATTGATGGATACGACGAGCGAAGTCGAAAAGCGACGTCAAAACACCGTCAGGCGAGAAAAAGACAAATCATATATAGAGAGAAATTCAAAGCGAATAAGATTACAATAAAGTCCGAATACGCATTTGCCACGAAAAGTCTATTGGTCTATCATTCGAATTGCATCATCCACGGGACCATCCCCTTTATCCAGAACTCGTCGTGGGCTGCACCTCGGAGGAAGATGACTGCGTGGACGTCGACTGCGCGGACGTCGACTGTGTACCACCGCCGAAAATGCCTATGGGCCCGGTCTCCGTCGTGCTGTACGCAGCAGCGGCGGAGGTGGCAGATTGGAATCTGTGTGCGGTGTCATCTCAGGCAATGCATTGGGCGGATGGGGATGACTTACGCGGAAGCGGCCTGTGAAGGATCGCTCTCGGAGGCAAAGATAACTTGGTCGATGATGTGCGCGACACCGTTGTCGATGAGGACGTCTGGGCGGATGATCTGCGCGATCGAGTTGTTCGCGCCGGCGACAAATATCCCCGTCGCGTTCGTGATGAAGTGCAGTGGTTCACCCGCCGCGGACACAGCCGTAGTCGAGTTGTCGAATTGCGTCGAGTACAGCGTCGTGCCGTTGATGTACTAAGGGCGAATTTGTGGTAAGGATAAGCACGAGACGCTGGACGCGCGCAGTGGAAGACGCACGTGGTTCTGGACCAGCGCCGTGAGGGCGGTCGTGTTGCTCTGCAGGCCCTGCAGCGAGCTATTGACCGCCGCGGTGAAGGCGACATTCGCGGGGACAAAGAACGTGATGCCCTTGGCGCACTGCAGCGCCTCGACCGCGGTCCCGTTCGTACCGTTCATAGGGAGCTGCAGCCCTCCGAGCACGCCTTGCAGAGCGGTCGCGTTGATCGCGGTGAGCGCGGTCGTCAGGTTGCCCGGCGGGGTGAGGGTGCCGTTGATGCGGTTGATGAAGAGGTTCTGCCACGACGTGCCGTTGACGACGGTGATGTTGTTGCTGCCAGACCTGCAGTCAGTCAGTCAGTACGCGCGAGTGCGGCGCCGCGAGTGGACACGTACGCCTGGTTCAGGATTGTGACGTTGCTCTCGGGCGTGGGGCGCGTCCATGCAAGAACTTGGCTCTTGTTTCCCCCGAGCGCGACGAGCGCCGAGGCATTGAGAAGCGTACGACCGATGGTGACGTTGGGCCAAATTCCTGCAAAAGGCTGAGGATTCGAGGAGCCAGAAGAGTTGGAAGAACCATTTCCGCCTCCATCCTGGCGTCGGAGGATGCCGAAGCGACGTCCAAGGAGCGCAGCAGTGGATTGAGTGGCAGTGGAGGTTTCGGTCGACGACGACATGCTGGAGCTAGAGCTACTGCCCCCGCCCCCAGAACCCGAGGAATTTGTGTAAGATGTGTTGGTGAAATCGCCATCAACGAAGTGATAAGCAATATACTCTGCGAGTAAAGTCGTGTTTTGTGAGACTCCGGAGGGAATTTGTTGGACTGCAGTAGAGGGTCAGGACACACACATGCGTTAGGAGACGGCGAGGGCGTACTTGCGGAGTCATCCGGAGCAAATACCGTGAAGTTCCGCCCGCTCGCGAGCTGCGAGAAGAGTTCCATCGCTGGCGATGTGCCGTTGATTTTCGTCAGTGTGTCGGCAAAGCCGTTGAATCCAGTAGATTGCAAAGCAGAAACCCATTGCGTGATGTAAGCCGAGGAATTAGAGGAGCTCGAGTTCTGTCCCGAATCCTGAGCCTGAACAGACCCAAGGAAGAGCGGTAGCACGAAAGAGAGCGGGAAGACGATGCTCGAGCGCATGGTGAAGAAAAGAAGATGTGGGTAGAGGTACAAGGAGGGACCAAATGTCTGTAATCCAGAATCTTGCTTTTAAAGGACGGGAGGTGAATCAGAACATGTTTGACCTTGGTCACAGAGATCCCGACTTCGGCAATAGACGCTCAAGCGCTCAAGAGTTGAAGCTAAGTAAGCACTCGGCAAGTGGCGGGATGGAAGTTCAAGTCATCAGCGCTAGGCATGAGCAGGGCGATTGCTCAAAAAACCAGCCTCCTTGAATGAGATGCGTTGTTTAACTCGTTTTTGACCGTCGAAGGATAACATACACGGTGAGTATATTTTGGGTATATTTTACTTTATTTTTCCAGGTTGCGAAGTCCCCATAGACGCTAAATTTTCCAAGTCGAACATGGTGCACGCGAACAGATCTAGACAAGCTGAAACTGTGTCGGTTCGTGCCTTCCCAAAAAAGATCCAGTTACTCCAACTCGTTCTTCATGACGGGTTTTCCCAATCTGGAGGATATGAGACCGACGGCAGCATTTGGAGTTCCATGTGGATTGTCGTAAGACCTGTCGTCTAGTCAGAGCTGGCAAACAGATGTTTGGGCACAGTATGGCAAGGAGCCTTTGCACAAAACAGATCAGATGAAGTGTGAGTTCGAAGAAATACTGCCAGTGGTGGTCGGCATTGGGTTGGCAGCTTGTTGGCAGCCGCCCGTGGTTGATTTTATGATTACATAAGCCATACATTCGCTGGTCAGCGATGTCAGCGACGTTGCTCCAGAACTCCCTAACACATTCACCGCCATGGCCCGCCGTTCAGCACCTTCCGCCCAGCCTTCCTACCTGCCTCATGCCCAACATGATCACCATTTGACCGACTCCAACGAATCCGCGTTCTCCAAGTTTGTCGCTAGCCTTCGGAAATATAGGAAAAACTCGTGTTGACGCGGCTCTATGACTTCTCTTCATAGATTTTTGCGTACTGAAGTCTTCGCGCCCGAAAAACTTCCAGGAAACATCAGCATTGGATCAGCTGTTGGTCTGTTTATCGG